GTTTGTAAAGTGTAGGGAATTATCAGCATCACTGACTCTGAGTTAGAATTTTGCTGTAAAATACCACTTAATTCGATCCCGAATTACCCGAGCATCTGCCATGCCTTTGCTCAAATCCCTTTCATCGACTGTCTTTATTTAGAACGTTGTGCGTAAGACACTTTATCATGCCGCTGTCATCATACGTCACCTGGGTGACAGTACATCTGAAACTAGTTGCGCTTTTCTCCCCCAGTTGAAAGATAGTAGTAATCAACAAAAAAAAACAAAGTAAACGAATGATAATAAACCGTATTTCTGCTCACCTGAAAGTCCTCCATTTGATAAACTATCTCCGAATTGAATCCAACATCTCTGTCGGTCGCTTTTACTCAAAAATCCGCTGTCATCATACGTCACCTGGGTGACAGTACATCTGAAACTAGTTGCGCTTTTCTCCCCCAGTTGAAAGATAGTAGTAATCAACAAAAAAAAACAAAGTAAACGAATGATAATAAACCGTATTTCTGCTCACCTGAAAGTCCTCCATTTGATAAACTATCTCCGAATTGAATCCAACATCTCTGTCGGTCGCTTTTAACTCAAAAATTGTCGCTCCCACAGACGTGTTTTCAAACAGTTCAAACTCATATAAATCCTGGTCAAATTTGGGAGCATTATCGTTTTTGTCCACAACTGATACAACAACGTGAATGGACGCATTCCTTGGCGGAGTGCCACCATCCGTGGCAGTCACCGTGAAGTTTACTACATCCTTCTCTTCGCGATCAAATCGAACTTTACTGTACAAAGCTCCTGTGAGGGAGTCCAGGTGAAAATAACTGTTACCAACCGAATCGATGGAATATCTTATTTTGGGTACGCTACGGTAGTCTTCCGCCCGGAACTCGGGTGCGGGAAATCGTTCTCGATTTAACAAATGGTAATCAGCCCACTGCCGCGAAGGGAATCGTTGCACCTGATCAGCATCTGTTGCGTTAAACGTCGTAATCAACTCATTGATTGCTTCGTTTTCGTTAATTCTCAGGTACAACTCATCGCGATCAAACTTGGGAGAATTATCATTGTCGTCAATAACGGTTACCAAGATTCTGGATCGCCCAGTACGTATGGCTGATGCCTCGAGCGCTTGATCTGTGCAAATGATTTCCACAGTCTCGTATGCGGCCAGTTCGTGATCAAGGGAGACGGTGGTGGTCAGCTTGAATTCCAACATATTATTGTGTTTGTTGGTATGCGAGTCAAGCGCTTTCGAAGCTACCGTATCGGGAATCACCACTGGAACTATGGGATTTATAATCTCCAACTGAAACTTTTGGTTATCTACTTGACAGCGCATAGAGCCGTAAATGCCAGAATCCCGATCTATAGCTGTCACAAATGCGACCAATTGTCCCGGTGGTAGGTTTTCTTTCACTAGAGGACGTGGTGGATTTGTTTGGCTTTGTAAGTCGACAACTTTTATTTGTGGCGTTTCATCGTTAACGTTCACGATGCTCACGGTCACCACCGTAAGTGCACTTTTAGGGACAGGTCTACCTGCATCAGATGTGATGACGTTGAAACGGATCTGTCGGTTAACGGATTCAGATCGAGACTGGTCTGCATCTAGCACTTGACTAACAGTTATGGCCCCGCTGATTGGATGAATTTTAAACGGAAAGTGTTGCTGTTGCATTCCCAGTGATTCTGGATCAATCCGGTATGTCAGTCGACCGTTGTCACCTGCATCTCGATCCGTACCTGAAAGGGTGTCTACCACCGTTCCAACGGCTACATCCTCGTTTATTTGTATTTCCAAGTTGGATGCAATCTCGGGTGGATTATCGTTTGCGTCTAATACACGAACCCGAACTAACAAGGTACCGGTATGACGTAGACTGTGGATCGTATTCCAAACTCCTTGTTCCTGCTTGTTGTCTTTCAGTCTATCTGACACTGGAAGCCCACTCTCCGAACTATCCATGGCAAGGATCTTCATCCAATACTCATCCCTTACTTCGCGGTCTATTTTGCTGACTAGTTTGACATGTGGAGCTATTCGGCTGTTTGGTAGCCTGCCACCGTTGCTAACATCACCTAGTGTGGTCAAAAAAGGGTCAGAAGTGAAACCAAGTCTAGTTTCATCCCATTCAATTCCGGAACAAGAGGACTGCATGAGAACGAACGGCAGTTCTGAATCAAAAGCTTCCACATGGCGGTCAGAACTATCATACCTTTGAAGCACTTCAGACTGGGAAACTTTAGAAAGGTGATACTCGGTAACACTGTAGGGTGTGGAATCTTCATCAAAAGCCATCGGGATTTCGAAACAAACATCCGGCTCTGTTGTTTCATCAATCCATAACTCCACCGTTGGCAAGGGACTTGTCGCCAACGTACGTAACCGATTGTTCTCCGGTTGACCAGTGTTAGGTACGTTTGTAGCAACTGGTAACAAAAATTTTGGCGCGTTGTCATTAAGATCAATCACATTCAGGACAATCGTAACGTACCCCCTTTCTCCGAAGTACTCTGCATCATTCATCGGCACGGTCTGGTTCTTGTCCACCGAACCGGTAACAACGTTGTATAGAACACGAAACACAATTTGGCATTCATCCAGAGTACGGTACAAAGTGATCTGTTGGACGCCATTACGTATGTTGTTTGATTCGGAATGTCTGTTCTCTTCAGAGACCGTAGAGGGACAGCAGAGTGCATCTTGCTGGCAAATACTATCCCTGTCTAGCTTCCGTTTGGTTAGCAAATGTCCTCTAACTTGATCTATTTGGAATAAGGTAGAAACAGCTGGTTGGTTCGCGACAATCACAAAGTTCGAAAGGTTTGAACTGGAATGTGAAACCGATTGAATTCGCTGAGAAACATCGCCAATCATCGTCCCATGGGGACGTTCTTCATAAATGTCGAACTGGATAACGGTGTCTGTGAATGGTTTTGCCGGAAGACACCGGGCAAGTAGGCACAAACTGGAGACGGTCAGTAAGTAGGCACTTGCGAAATAATTTGCTATTTTCCTGGCTTTCTGAAATCCAGTGAGCATTGCTCAGTGACAAGTATGTGAAAACTACTGTAGCGTGCACATTAGTGTAGGAATGTTGAATCTTTGAACCCTTAGCCTACGTAAGTAATGAAAACATCGCCAATTGGCCAGTTGGCCAATCAACATCCTTATTTGCTTGTCCAATCAGATGTCCGGAGTCTTTGCGGCAGCTAGCCAGCACCAGTCGACTCAGTCACCTCATTCATTCGGGACAAGATTCTGAAGTTTTCTGACGGGGGAACCAGAATCTACTTGGTTATTTGAAAAGTAAAAATTACACTAAACATTTAAATTTCAAAACATTTTCCGCTTGCTGTCAATATGGAGATTCATGTCACAAGTTGGCCCCCGGTCGAGATTACCCAACATTCGCAAACCATCAAGCCCTCTACCCTCAAATATTAGATGAGCGTGTATCATGACCCACGCCTGTTGCTAAGTTCCTTTAGGTTAAAACATGAAGTTTAGTGGGTACTCACTCCATAGTTCGCCTGAACACCTCAAAACCATTCTTTTTTTTACAGAAAACAACTGAGGATGGAAGTCGATTTGAGAAATGAAAACATCACTCGTGGGCAAGTGCGTCTTAGCATAAAATAGGCATTATTTCTTCAGAGATTTGATGGAAATCGAACACAATAAACGTCCCGACACCGAAAACTGGAAAACACAGATTTCTCGGGACCTGAGGTGCTTGGTGTTACACAAGGAGATCATTAATGTCGCTAACAAAAATCAGCTGTTAATCTATGAGACAGAGTGTAACAAGTAACTGTGGAATCAAGACTTGTATTTCGGGAGTGTGGCATCAACTGCGGTAACCAAAATGATAAGGCACTCAAGCGAGGGGATTCTAGTCCCGTTCGAAGAATATCCTTTCGTCAACTTTCTGTGTGCTTCGGTTCAAGATCACAATAAGCTACACCCGCATCTCTTCTACACCCGTCGGGAATCTAGTTTGTGATTGGTGTCCGCCGATGAGGCAGACTCTGCCACATGCCGTCTCCAAGAAGACTGCCCAACACCGCAATCGGAAATCGTTTTGTCACAGTGAATCCCGGTAGTGTCAGGGAAAATTTGAGAGTATCAAAAGGCAGAGATTCGACTAGGGTTCAGTAGAGTCACCCCTTTAAACTAAACTGTTCGAAAATTAGTGTATTTCGCAAGTGGCGTGAAATTCTGTTGCACATATGTCATTGCTTTGACGAAACGTTTGGAACTGATGAAGTTCAAGATGGATGAATCGGTTATGAGTTGTTCGATACTTTCCCGCAAGCAGATGGGTAGTTTTAAGCCAAGAAAGTAGAATGTTATCTTTAATATCAAATGAACTGAAACATATGACAGTCTTTTTGCAGCTCACTCAGGTGAAAAATAAGTCTAACAAGAGAGATTTAGCTGGGGTTCAGGTGATTGTTCCACTCGAACGAAACTAGTCAGCAAATGAGTGTATTTGACGAACTCTTCACCGGTTTCACCCTGGTGAGTGCATCAGATACAAGAAAGAGATGGGTTTCCAGACGCTGTAGCATTGCCTGCTACTCAAAAATACTACTAATAGCCCGAAAGATGACTGTATCCGAGACACGATACACAGGCAAATGGAAGCATAGAAAACGAACGTGAATAGTGCAAGTAAAAGGGCACTAACAACTTTAGGCGCTTCTGAACGTTTTCAAGTGACGCATTTCGGTTTAACACAGTGCAGGCCTCGAACTTTGGTGCGGTCTGGTTGGGACTGTGGCCAATAATATTGTGTGTGAATTTGAGCATACAAAGCTGGAACAAAATGCGACTCGCGCATGGATGGTTCAGGTGGGTTTGATATGAGTAAGATTCATCTATCCCTTTCCCTGTACTGAGGGGTTAGTGCAAAACCTCTGACGGAAGTTGAATTCGGGTATTCTGCGCGCCTTAAATAAGTTTTCAGCGTTTGCGGGATCTGTTCAGTACAATGGGTGTTTTAAGAATTTAACTGTCCTGCGAGCTTTGCGACAAGACCAAGAAGATCGTTTGTGAATGTCTATCTCGCCGAAATGATGGTTTTTGGTGAGGAAATTAATCGATCTCTTCAAAACCGAGTCCAACATTATGATGTTCTGGTGAAAAAGGTTGTTTTTTTTCAAAATGAATGCGACAAGACCAAGAAGATCGTTTGTGAATGTCTATCTCGCCGAAATGATGGTTTTTGGTGAGGAAATTAATCGATCTCTTCAAAACCGAGTCCAACATTATGATGTTCTGGTGAAAAAGGTTGTTTTTTTGTCAAAATGAATGGAACCGGTTCTTTCTTTCTTTCTTTTGATACGACATGTTGTTGGCCCAGGCCAGACAGCCCAACAGTTGATAAAATAACCTTGTGAAATCACATCACGTAGCCTGCAAACCAGGGATCGTTTAGAAATTCAAATGCAACTTTTGGTTTGACACCAACTTCTCAGCGTGTGGAGCAGCCAATTGAGAATTACTACCGTTTGGATTCTTAAAAAATACGTAATAACCGATAACTATTTCCAACAGGTGATTGCATCCATTCTCAGTGTTTGTGCTGAGCTCTTTCTGTGAACCGCAGCATTATACCCTGGTTTTACATTTTCGTGTTTATGTATACTTTTAGTATTGAACAATGGACCTTCATATGATGGCCAAATTATTAAAATTTTAAGGTGGAAATTATCTTTGAATGATCACAGGTGTATTCTTGTCACAGTTAATATGTGAAACCGGTGGGGCCAGTCTTGGTTTCTTTTCCTTATCACTCCCCTATACCCGCCAGGTCCTAACCTTGCTCCCAAAGGTGCATAAGCCTTCTTCAGAACAAAGCCCAAATCTTGAATTTCCTGCAGGAAGTTCGAGGTTGAGTATACGTGCTTTTTATGCACTATTCTCGTACACCAAAGCCTATACATTCTGTTGACAGTCTGCCAACAAAATGCTTTGTTTGGTTCCAACATGCGACTTTATAGTGAGCTTTCGTTTATACACCGGAAGATTCTCAAAGTGAAAATGGATATCACCATCTAAGGTGAACTTGCAAGAAGAGAGCACCTTGTTTGCAATGGATCTTACAAAGAAAAAACGGTGCCTGTCACATGCCTTCATACAAATAGCACTGGATAGATAGGTCAGGAAGAACGGTTACTTGAGGATAGATCGTCCAGACGCCTAACGAATGTTAGGAACAATGGTCCGTACTTTATATCCACAATGCATGATGCATCCAGGTTTTCTACCTCATTCTTGTGAGTCCGTTCACCTACAGTGGTCCTGACTCCTACATGGACAGAGCAGACCGCAGATGACGTGACCGTGTCTCGGAGGATGCGCACAAGTCGGCTGACGGAGCATTCAACAGAAACATGACAACCTAAATTTTGGAAAGGAAACTCTTCCATCCCGAAATATGCAGGTCACCGGTTACCGGGCTGATCCAAAAAATTGTTCACAATTTTACTAGAAAATGTCAGTCAGAGTGAGGCCGTGCTGAATCCACAGAGAAGACTTTCACCAGGTGCTCAGTCAAGCACGAATCTTTCCGCTTGGCTGGTTAGAACAATCCTGACTACTTCACAGAGAGCCACACTAGCCTCTCAATCGTCAGAAACACGCATTTAGCTGTGCGTGGATATTGATGGACAGTTAGCTCGTCACCCGCGCTTTGATCTGAACTCTTGTTCCTGATACACGGTACACATCAAACCCAAACTAATCTCACGCACTGACGAGTGTGGCCTGTTGTTTAGCTTGATTCAAAGCTCAAACATTAGGAGCAGTTCGATGAACTGGGTGTTCAGACCTGGAGTTAGGAGCGCCGGTCGCAACGCAGATATCGTGGCCGAAACTCATGCAAGCCGAATGGGGTAATCAGTCCTAAGGGCTGGGCATACGAGAACAGTATTATTCATGGGGAGAAGATACAGAGAAAGCAATTCATCTGAAAGAGAAAGACAAGTACTGTTAGCAGTGGTCGTTTTTCCCTCACCCCCCTGCTGTCTGCAGAAAGTTAGGCAACCTCCCGGTTGCTGCATGCGATAATAGTGGATAAAAGTGGATAATAGTGGAGGAAATTTTCCAGTTGTAACATCTTTGAACACATCGTATCACCTTCTTCGTGTAGCTTTGGGCGACTTTCATACCTCTCTCCCAAAATCTTCCAAATGCAATAAACATTAGATCGTGGATGTTTTGTGTCGGTCCTCCTTTTGTGTGCTACATGCGCAGCAAACAAAGTAAAAGAGACAAAGCGTAGCGTTGGCTGATCTGCCATACTAATCCCACGCGGATCAACAGCTGTTGTTTCAGTGAAATAGTCACAGAGGGTTTTGTACAGCAGTTCCTAAATTTTACAAGATTACGACGTCGAACAATACGTGAATGAACGTTATTCAAAACAGCACACCCGGAATATGTGGCTGTCCTATTTATAAGCAAATATTACCAAAGGATACAGTCAAATTTAGTCAAACTGAGTGATTTGGTCTAAGGAATCATGTGTTACTGTGCTTACATCTTAGTACAGTGCAAAGCACTAAATAGTCGGCACCAAACCGTCCTCCCTTCACTTAATTCTTTTGATCCAAGAATGCAACATGAGGGCGTATTTCAGCGATAAAGTGGGAAACAACATAATTCGTAATTGTCTCCTTAGCTACTGTATTCCACTCAAAAATGTTCTTGTTATTTGTCTTGTTCACTCCAGTATTTTGGTTACACTATGATACCTTTGTAACAATACCCTTCGTAACGGTGTCCTTGTAAACACTGCGCTTCCCACAATAGCTTTTTTCTCCCTACAGTTCTCGTCACCTAAAGTGTACATTTTTGCATACCCTATACTCGTGTTCCAAAGCATGATTATCTGCATCACTAGAAGAGGTTTCAATTAGAAATTTCGTCCGATTAACAGTTCTTCTCGGAAAATGTTAGAAGGACTTGCGTTTAGGTTCAGGTACCAATCTCATGAAAGAATAGAGCAGCGAGACAGTACAAAAAACACTGGT